GCCTTTGAGAGAATAGCTCAGATGAAACTAAGAACTGAGCACATTTTCACCCTAGAGATTATGAACGTGGCGAGTTAATAACATACAAGTAGTATTCCTGGCTTTTATGCCCAAGTTATTACAAACTGAAGTAGGCTAATTTCAAAACATGGACTTGATGCATATCCTTGAAATTGAGTTATACTTGTTTAACAACTGATCATCAAGATCACAAAATACAAGGAACTCAGATGAGGAAGGATATAATCTATTTCTTATTATGACTTTGGCTCTCTCATGTTTTTTCATGAATATTTTCAAGCGACTGAGTCAAATTATGCGGTACACATTAAGTTTATTACAATCATAATGTTCATAAGCATTCCTCAGAACAAACAGCAAAAACATTCACCAGACTCGAGAATACATTGTGTATGTGATGATTAGTTCTTCAAATGAAGTTTTCTTAACTTCTGTGGTTAGCTATCATCACTATCCATATAACATCATCATCATCATCATCAGGATAACCACTGTCATATTAGTTTCAGTATACATGTCATATCATATTCATCATCATCATCAGGATAACCACTTTCATATTAGTTTCAGTATACATGTCATACTCCCAAAAGATTTACGCGATCATTCAACAGCATAAAACATGATCAAGGTTTACAAGTTTAGCCCATTGTCTGAAACCCAAGCAGGGAGCAATTTTCTTATGTCTAACAGTCCATACTCTATCCTTACAAATATTTCAAAATAATGCATATAAAAATCTCAAATATCTCAAAACTGTGTGAAAGAAGCTGCTATCAAAGTTTGGCCTGGTCAGATCCAGTGATGTGATGCTGTTTACAGACACGGATAAAACTCCAATTACTGTTCTACTTTCACTGATAACAGGCATCAGGAAAGACTGGAATGTCTGATTTCCCCCTGAAATTAGATTACATGATCTAGATCTGAGACGTGAAGGCCTTTCTCCATATTACGAACCTTACTCACGAAATCTGTATAATCGAAACCAGATCAACCAGGCTTGATCAATTAATCAATCTTCCTGTTCTGCCAAACAGGCTGCCATCAGAACATCACTACTAGGAGCATCTTCTGCTTCTGATTGACCTGTTGCCCGAAACACTCAATGATTTCTCCAGAACTGCTCTGACCTCTCCCTCTAATGACTGTGTCAAACTTTTTTCTCAATTCATTGTAATGTTGTATATCCATTCACAATCCTTAGCAACCAACTTTTACTGCTAATTGGTTTTTCTATTATGCAATCCTAGTAATCCTTTAACTGTATTGCATAATGTAGCAGTCTGTGTGGCCAGCAGGATTACCTTTCTTTAGAAACTCGGATGCCACTCTGCAATGTCATTAACCGGGTATTTCATTCAAAAACTTCAAAGTGTCGTTTTTCCTGCCGTGCACACATAATGTTCACTTTAAGATTTTCCTGGCAAGAGCCATTACACCATGAATTTGATGCTAGTGCATAACATCAGGTAACGTCAGGTAACGTCAATCAAATGAGCACGTTAAGGAGTAATGTTGATGTAATGTGCAAAAAGCTTACCGTGAGAGATGCAGTGAAAGCATGTTCCGTATCTGGGTAATGTTTGAAATTACAGCTCCATCATGATAACCCCATGGCGCATGTTCATAAACTTTCAAAATTATCTAAAACTGACGTCATCTGAGACTGATTCCTTAACCTTGCCTCTCTCAAGCTCATCTTGCATTTCACCTTTGATAATGGATGACTTAATTGATTTTGCATTTTTTTTCTGATCTGCTTCTTGAGGTTCCAGGTACAAAGACTGTTGAAAATTAAGCTTGAAAGTAATGGGGTCCTTGTCATTATCCTAATGCTCAAAACGGATGACTAAGCAATGTCTGGGTCCTGAGGTATAACTACTAGAATAGCAGCACATCAGGACCCCCTTGGTCACCACTGAAAGAGTGAGTGAGTGAGTTTAGTTTAACCTGCTTTTAGCAATATTCCAGCAATAAAACAGCAGGGGACATCAGAAATAGGCTTCACACATACTGCCCATGTGTTGAATCAAACATGGGTTTTTGGCATGAAGAGCCAACGCCATAACCACTAGGCTACCCCACTGCACCACTACTAAAAGATATCACTATTGAATATACATCTTTCATAAACATTAATGGAACATGATTTTACAGAAATGCTGTCAATTATAACTCAACTGAAAATAGGTAAGAAAGTAAAATACTTTATCGATAGCAACTTCTTCGTTATATATGATGCGACGTTTTGGTATAGATTCTTATTACATACCGTTGTCAAGCAAGAGTGACATTCTTACTCTTGTTTGACAACTGTATAAGATTCTATAACAAATCGTCGCATCATATATAATATAGAAGTTGTTATCCATAAAGTTTCCTACTTTCTTATCACTCACCAACTTCTAAAATGCCAATCAAATAGAAATGAAAATTGGATAACAAAAACAATGAAGATGACTCTGATAAGTATTTCCTTTACTTTCCGTAAATGACATTCGTGAAGTCAGGAGAATATGTTTGCAAATAATTATTGTAATATGGCCTCTAAATAAACAACACATTACAGAAAACCTTAATCAACTCAGGTTCTATATCAGTTTTGAGCTAGGTTGACCCATCATGCTTTACAAAGGATACAACAATACAGTTGAAAATCTCCATCTGTCTCAATATACATCCAGCGAAAGAAACTAATATTCCATTTGTCAATGTAATAATAACCTATAGAAAAAAGCATTATATACAATTTTCTGCTTGTACTTTTGATACCTTTACTACAGACTACAGAGACAGTTTCTATCCCTGACATCTCAAACAGATGCAGGCACACCATCAAGCCAAACCTCAGTATCCACTCACGGTAATCCTCTGCCACAAAGAAATACAACTTAATTGCTTAGAAATAAAATCTTGTTTCAATTATTCATCCATTGCTAAGATTCCTAGGAGCTACTGATTAGATACTCCCTATGTGGTCGGTTCTTGCTGAGATCTCCAGAGGCACTTCATCATGTCCTTACTCAAATCATGACCAGCATACATTGAAAAATATAAATATGCCAAGTATATATATATACATACAGGATGGATATTCCATCGCATGTGTATTTTGCTGACAAAACCCAAGCAAATCTGGAGGAAAGTGGAATCTTAACAAATGACTAGTGGCTCCTTCCAAAGCTATGCAGGGGTTCAATTATTTTTTTAAAAATAGAAAGTAACTTTTCCTGACTAATTTTCCACTTGAGCTGATTTTATGACATAATCATGATGATGTAATTATGGAAGAATAAATCAACATGGTATTTGATGTTAATGTTTACTGGACTATTTATTGAAAAGTGATAAATAGCAAAGAAAGATAACTCTACTTTATCATCATTGCGAAATTTAATAGCTACATTTTGAGCAGATAGGAAATTAAATCCAAGTTTATTTGCAGTTTGAAACCATAAGTGGAAATTATCTAGTAGCCCACGGACAAGTAAGATACCATTATTTGATTGCCCGAAATGAAAACTGACTTGTGCAGAGCGTTGGGCGATGGGATTTTTTAACCCCTGCTATGGTACGCAGCTTGCTACCAAGAGATCAAGTCATCCTTTTTGTGAGTTAAGTTTTATGCTGCACTCAGCACTATTCCAGCTATATGGCAGCGATCTGTAAATAATCAAATCTGGACCAGACAACCCAGTGAACAGCAGCATGAGCACCAATATGTGCCATTAGGATAGGATGACATGTGTCAACCAAGTCAGCGAGTCTGACCACTCGATCCCATTAGTTACCTCTTACGACAAGTGCGGGTTACTGAAGACGGGTTACAATTCTATCTTAATCAATGAAATCATTTAGATACAGCATTGTTAAATCATCATCGACCCAGCTGTTGAGAGAATGAGTGTGAGTGTGTGAGTGAGCAATGATTTATGCTGCATTTAAAATATCCTTGATATATCATAGAAATGGACACCAGAAATGACTTTCTCACACTGTTCCCATGTGAAGAATTAAACCTGTGGCTTTTGTGTTGAAAGTACACTATAACCACAGGGCTAACTTTGATATGATTTTACCTCCAACACAAGGGCCAGTTTGAATGCATATTATTATAAAATGATTTTCTTTAGATGTGTATTATCATACATCAATTTCATCTCCAACTTGTATGAAATCCATATTGACTAAAACTATTATGTCTCGACATATTGATAATAATACCAGTGTGACCAAGATGAAAAATCAAACTTGTGAATGAAATATTGACAAATGGAAACACATTGAATAGATAAATCTGTCAGTGAGTGACAGCTGTGGATGTAATATAATGTAATGTAATTATCCGCTGCTTCAAACTCTTCTGAACGCTGTCATTGTTTTCAGAAACAAAGAGTTTCCTCTATATTATTTACTCACTAATACATTATGTTACATTATGTGCTACAAGGTAGGATTTGGGGCATGTTGTAAAGCTGTTATTTTCTTAACTCAAGAGGTATTTTATATATATCCAATGAAATTAGCTAAAGCTATCAGAAATATCTTTCCACTGTGTAATATAATTAAACTTATGAGTAAACGTATCAAATTTGTGATTTTCTTTATCAACATGTGCCATTAACCTTAGGCATATTACATTTAGCTGCCTGAATTTGATAAGAAACAAGTGGCATTTAGCATTCATTTGTATGGTGTGGAAAGCACAAAAGGATTTAGGGAAGAAGATATATACTTCTTTCAGATCCCCAATCAAATTTGGTTCCTCATTAACTGATAAAGCATATTCTCTTTGATCACCTGGTAAAACACCACTGCAGGTGAACGTCATTGTACAAAACTGGCACAAATTGAAAAGGAATTCATTCATCATTCCTGGTTTTGGAATTTTTTGTGCGTATACTTGTAATAGCGAAAGCTAATTATCTCTTCAGTTCAATAAACAATATTGGCCCTGCAGGTAACAATCACCCTACCTTGTCGTGACTAATTAATTCCACTTGACCTGCAGTTGGCACGCGCCGATCGTCTAGGTTCTATAGAAACCACAATACATTGGCATTATGTAATGAGACCGGTCGAAGAAGGATGTCCATTTCGTTGTGGCACGGTCAAATTACTGGCCAACTGAAGGTCGACCTCGTGGACGTTGATGCAGACGACTGTGTCTACCTCGAGATATGCTCGCTCTGAAAATAAGAAAATCAATAAAATCGAAGGTAACTACTTATCCTACAATGGGGAAAAGGGAGTCAAGTACAAAACTGATTCCAACTTGCAAAAAAGAATGAAATCATTACCATGGTCACGCGCCCTTTTGTGATCACGCTTTTGAGATTACTTCACAGCTGACAGCCGGCTGAAGACGGAAGTGATAGTTTTAACTACATCGTTTGCCGCTAGGAGGCGCTGTTAAACAGGTGCGCTTGATTATATTGGAAATACCTATTAGACATTGATAAGACAGAAAATAAATGACAGACTGTTAATTTCAGTTTAGTTATATCTTTCCACTATATGACGCGTAGATTTCTGAGCGTGAATTATTTTCTCGAGGAAACGAGAAAACGTCGCCATATTGATACTGAAAGTAGGAAGTGATCCTTGACTTCTTTCGAATGACCTGTTGTTCTTATCCGACTTTCGAAATCTGCTGTCAAGGCATTTTATTACTTCCGCTGGCAGATCTCAGGAACAAGTGAAACCAGTACTTGCTGTTTTGACAGGTAGGGACACTTTGCATTTATTATGGCAAAAACGAACCAGTGACAGGTGATATGATCACATATTACAGGTATTGATACACCTGAATTCACAATACCGGCATGGAAGCTTGCAAGACAGTGCTATATGGTTCTCAATGATGGTTATCGGATTGTTACGGTTATAGCCGTTTTTTCGATGGTCTGTGTAATATTCTTTCTTTACAAATTGGCTTGCCTGTAATATTTATAATTATAATATTAAAAAGTAAGATGAAAACGAGGAATAATGACAAAAACCCACACATTATTCTGACTACAATATCATTATTACAACATTTTATGTTGATGTAAAGACAGTCTTTTGAAATGTAATATATTGTCTGAAAAGTATGAAAATAATTCTAGTCAAGTAAGTCATCCTGAAACAATCCATATTATTGCTAACAAATAAACATTCACTCAGTCAGTGAGTATGGCAATCTCATAAAAAATTATTTTACAGATCCTCCTCTCATTATAGAAAGACTGACATGTTGTCTAATATGTTTATCATCTAATGAACATATGGTAAACAAAATGTAAAGATTACCCGACCTCCAACCTATTTCATTAGCATTTTTTGGGGGGAAGTACTCACAGGGGATGCTTGGCATCCATAGATATTTAGGTCGGGGGAATGTCTGATCGTTGGATAAAACATATTCTTTTGATAATCCCTCACATTAGCAAGTAGCATATTATGTATGATAAATGAATATATGCCAATTTTATACCAGATCATAATGATACTATTGATCAGACTATACTTACATCTTGATCAATGTGGGCAAATATCAGCAAATCTTTTTACCGAAAAGCAAATGTTTTGTCTTTTTTCAATTTTAGTAATCATTATCCAGTGTGTGAAAGAAGGGACAAATCTTTGTCAGCTATGTTGAAGAAACAAATGATCAAGTTGATCCTTATATACAGGCAAGCTAACATACAGGTCTATTCAATAGTAGATCTAGGGGTCCTTGTGATGTAAACTGATTTTCATTGTAGGACTGGTTATATTTCTTTTGGAAATACTTGAAACTAGTAATGTTATAAATTATTAATGGAGTTAACAAGGCATACCAGTACATCATTTCATGTAACTGGTCCATCAAATTAACTTGGTCTGTATGTTTCATACATGGCACATTAAGTATTAAGGAATGTGTATGAATCTTTGGCAGAAAAGGGGCTGTGGGGTAGCCTAGTGGTTAAAGCGTTTGCTTATCACTCCAAAGGCCCAGGTTTGATTCCCCACATGGGCACAGTGTGTGAATCCCATTTCTGGTGTTCCCCATCGGGATATTGCAGGAATATTGCTAAAAGCGGTATAAACCCAAACTCACAAACTCACTTTGGCAGAAAGTCCAAAGTCTATTTATTGTCAGAATAAGATATTCAGTTATTACACACGTTATTACTACTGACTTGGTATCAATGACTCAACGATGCTGAAATAGCTCTACTCTTGTTGTCCTTGGGAATTGCTTTGCATATAAACTGCATCCATTCGATCTCCAATTTAATGTGAAATGGGACAAAGTATTTGCCCCTGGGGTGTTTGTGGTATTTCACTGAAGTTGTTTTATTTGGTATTTATGTATAATAATGTTTCTGTGTTAGAATAAAGGGGGAGACTGGTCTCCTTTAGGTGGTCTACTGTGATCAACAATGTCAATGGGATCAGCATGATAACAGATTAAACTATTACAGCTTTTAAAAACATGTATTAAGATTAAGGCTATGGTGTCAGTTACCCATTTGTCTAATCCACACTTGGTATTCTACATACCGGTAGATAGAACGTTGCTGAGCGCTGGACTATACAAGAGACAAATAAAGTATATATTTTGAGTTAAATGGGTTTTTTTTCATTTAAGTCTTTTATTTCCCATTTCCATGTTACAAATACAGGGTCGCTTGTTCGATAAGCGTTTGAAAGAAATTTCATGTACAATTTAAGTTCAACATTTACATTTCACTGCAGAATTATTACAGACAGTTACCCATTTGTCTAATCCACACTTGGTATACTACATAGATAGAACAGTGCTGAGTGCTGGACTATGCAAGAGACAAACAAAGTATATATTTTGAGTTAAATTGATGGAAGTGTATATATTGGTAAAATCCTTATATGGTGGAGTTGTCCCCCCTGCACCTTAAATACACCTGCAAACATGCCAAATGGTTTCCAGGGCTCAGTTTAGTAAGGCAGAACATGCACTGAAAAGTGTGACCAAATATTAACGTTTCTGCATCAAGTGTATGAAAACAAAAAAGATTAGTGTCACACCCTTACATTTCTGCACAACAGGCCTCTTTGAAAACATTCAATTCCTTTTATGTTGATTTCTGTTCTGACACTAACCCCTATTTATGTGTACTTTGTTTCATGTTTGGGGGCTTGATGTCATCAGTATATGTGTACTTCAAGATTTTGTGTACATGTTTCACCTTCGATAATTTAATGGGTACAATGCAATGTGGTTATGTTTGGTGAATTTCGCATCAGTTTTTTTATGTTTTTAATGGGCTGCTGAAGACCAGTACTTAATTCTAACCCAGCATGATGTACTAAGTGGGCAGTTTAATTAATCTTAGTGATTCAGAAAATGAATCATTCTCAAGGAAAGGTGGAAAACTTTGAGTATTTTGAGTATTTTTGGTTAGTGAAAAGATATTTACTGAGATCAAAGGTCAAATGTGTTGTTCGTTTTGGCATGCTTAAAATTAAAAGTGTATCTGGGCACAATGCATTTCCCTTCCTGACACTATACCACTAACATTGTCCTGGCTTGTATTTTGTGTGATTCTGTCAGTTAACATAACCGATCAGGCTGTGAATGGTGATTTGTTTGGGATAATTAAGGAAAGGGATTCACATTAAAAACTGATTTGAGAATGTAATTTTCAGTTTGGACTGCAGGAACATCATATGGACTTCAAAATTTTATGTCTTGTCATACTTTGTTAAATATACTTGAGATAAGCTATATATATATATATATATATATATATATATTTCCCCATTTCCTTTTTACATATACAGACCAAGTTAAAAAGATTGAAAACATGAACAAGAGGGATTTTATGGGGGAATATGCAATAATGACCATGTTGATCAAAATGTTAAGTAATATCATAAATCATATAATGTATAGATTAGAAAAATCATTTGTGAAATGTTGGTACACATTCTGTTTAATTACCATATTTGATGTTGTGAAGTGCTGGTGAATCGTTTCGGCCTTATTCCAGAAGTTAGGTCAGTTTCTACATGTTTATGTTTTTAAAAAATATTGTTTAAATTGCTAAGTAGTTGTAAATCTGGATTTCTGTGACAAAATTATATCAAGCATATGTTGAAACAATTTCCTTGAGTATGTGCGAATGATTTCCCGTATTTCCAGAATGTTCTTACATCAAATCGCCAGTGTTTAGAAATGTTTGAAAGGTATTTTTAGCCTGCTTAGAGCTAATGTATGCGTTTTGAGTTTAATGCATTCCAGTGTTGAAGATGGAGATTTCAAGCTGTCATTCTGACAGGTATTTTGTATCGTATTCAGACATGTTTCGAATAATGCACGTAATCTTCAGTGCCTGCGAATAAATAGTTCCGCCCAAATTAGGAAGGTTTTGTTGTTATGTTCATGAATATCATAAATGCTGTTATCTTGCTGAAGGATTTCATTTCAAGGGCTTCAAATATTTGTATGTTGTATATAAAGGATATTACTATGAACAGTTGCCATAGCAACATGAATGGGTTTCTCTGTGATTGCCTCTAATTGTTGGTTGTTGTGTGAAATGGCCTGTTGTTGCAGCTGAAATGAACACTCTTGTCAGTTTCATCTGTTTTGACATACACATTGTCAGGTACCTGACAAGTTATGTGTCACCGGAATAACAGATTATTTGGTTTCAATTACACATTCCTGTAAATGAGATGCTTCATTCTTCCTATGTTACTATGTTTGTGAAGGATTGAGGGGAAATGTGGGTGTGTTTCCATGCCATAATGTTATTGAGTTGGTGGTTCCACTGGTCATGTGAGTTTAAGTCTCAGTTTTATTGAATTAGGTTGTCCCTCATGTTTAAGAGGATAACTGAATTTTGATTGAGTGGTCATTAAATGATTCAAATGAATGTTGAATTGTTTTTGCTGTTCATGTGGTCAATTTTCATGCAAGTCTTATGTAGATCGGATGATCAATTTCATGCATTTCTAAAATGGCATTAAATGTTGACGGAGCAGGAAATTTTCTTGTATTTCAAAATAATGCCAAAAAATGTAGATTCTGTTGTCATGCTTGTCTGAAAAAGTAATCAAAAGTTTATTGAGGAATCACTTGTCATGCATGTTTGAAAAGGGAATCAAATTTAAATTGAATTGGATGTTGTGTTTGTGATCAGATGAGTTGTTTTCGCTTTAACTCATCTCTAGGCTGCCAGAGGCAGTGTGTATCCCATCCTGAATGTTGGATGTGACGCTTGTAGTGAGGCTTTGACTTAGTTGAATACAGTGTGTATTGCCATGGTAACTCAAGTTTTTCTTTCCGAAGGCCAACCATTTTCCATTACATGGACAAAGGATCAATAAACTTTTAATGTTTTATTCAGCTAAAAAGGTGAA